TCTCTCTTTCTCTTTCCCCAACATAACCTTCTCCACTCTCTCTCTCTCTCTCTCTCTCTCTCTCTCTCTCCTCACTAACTCCCCTCTCCCCTCCACCAAAAGGACCTTCGAGCACCTCTCCCTCTACTGCGACTACTTCAGGAACCTCATCCCCATCTCCTTCGTGCTGGGGTTCTACGTTACAGTGGTGGTACAGCGGTGGTGGGAACAGTATCTCTGTATCCCCTGGCCCGACGATTTTGCCATGGTCTGCGCGTCATACATAAGAGGAAAGGTATTAATAGAGTTTAATCACACTCATGTATTCTGTATTTAACGTCAATACAATCGGTAACTAAACGAGATATGTGTCAAGAAAATAATTATATAGTGGGAGAGAGGAAATGCGTTCGTGTACACTATCCGGATTCTTGTTTTTGTTCTTTTCTTTCCAGCAAGGGACACCACGAGCACTTAGGGCGACTCTCATACGGTATGTGAACCTGGCTAGTCTCCTCACCTTTGCCAAGATCTCCCCAAAGGTGCAAAAGAAGTTCCCAACCTATAAGGAGATTCTAGAAGCTGGTGAGTGAGTGAGTGAGCGAGTGAGTGAGTGAGTGAAGACAGGTATAATAATGGTTACACAATACATGATCATAACAAACCATCCCTCACAAACTCTCGTCCTCTCCCTAAAACAAACAAAGCACATCACAACCAGGTAACATTAACCCACTAAGGTCAGTAGGGGTGAGTCATAACCCACCTGTGTAAAATTATCCCCATTATTGGTGATAATCTTAATGGGTTTCTGCAGGTGGGTGTCAAGGCCTATTTCACACCCATGTTAATTATATATTTTTGGGGGGTGGGGGGTTTTGGGGGTGGGGGTGGGGATGGGTGGGGTTTGGGGGTGGGGTGGGGGTTTGGGGGTGGGGTGGGGGGATGGGTGGGGGGATGAGGGTGGGGGTGTTGGGGACGTAGTGTTGAGTTGCGTAATGTTGATTTATTTATATGGTGTTTGTTTGTTTGTGTGTTTGTTTGTGTGGTTTTTATTATTTTTGTTTTGTTTGTGATGTCTTTGTTTGTCTGTAAGTGTATGTGTGTCTTCCTTCCTATCTTCCTTTCAAATTTCTTCTCTCTCTCTTTCTTTTTCTTCTTTGTTCCTTTTTTTTTGTCTCTTTTCTTTTCTCTTTCATCCTCTCTTTCTACCCATCCATATTAGATGCTTCCTCACCATCACCACTTCCTCCTCCTTCTGCCCCTCCCACAGGATACCTCACAGCCCACGAGATGCGCATCCTAGAGCAGCAGAAGGGGAGGACAAGCGTGCCCCTGGTGCTACTGCCGATAATGTGGTCGTGTAAGATGGTAGAGAGTGCCACGACCTCTGGCTACGTCAGGGACAACTTCGGCTTAAAATTCCTGCTGGAGGAGTTGATTAAGTTGAGAAACATGAACGGGATGTTGCTCAGGTGGAACGACATGAGCATCCCTCTCGTCTACACGCAGGTGAGTGGCGGGAGTGGTGAGTGGGAGGGATGAGAGAATGTGGTGAATCTCCCTCTCTCTTTCCCTCCCACTAACTCTCCTTCTCTCTCCCTCCCGCAGGTGGTGACGATGGCCGTGTACTCCTTCTTCTTCTTCTCAGTGTTGGGGCGACAGTTCCTGGACCCCCAACAGAAGTACACCAACAGGACCATCGACTTCTTCATCCCTATCTTCACCCTGTTGCAGTTCTTCTTCTACATGGGCTGGCTCAAGGTGGCCGAGTCGCTCGTCAATCCCTTCGGTGAGGACGACGATGACTTTGACCTTGACCTAATACTCGAGCGTCACCTCAAGGTAAGGAACACTGTCTCATACTCAACCCCGTACTTGAGAGTCACATCTACGTTCTGTGGTATATTTGAGTCACACTTGAAGGAACTACTTCACACTTGAACGAGGTTTTACTGAAATGTCATGGTAACTTGATGACGAGTCTCTCCCCTTAACAGATGTCTTACCTGATGGGGGACGTGACGCCTAGTGAGGACCCCCTGAGCTTCGATGACAGCAGCTTCGACAAGGCCATCCCTGGACTCGTACCTGGGGCCATGGATGACCTGGGCCGCCTACATGACCTGGGGAGGGATGAACTGAACAGGGCTAATCATCATCGAGGTGACCTGGGGCGTGAGGACCTGAATAAGATGAAAAATAACTGCCGGAGTGACCATGGGAGGGACGAGCATGACCAGCGGAGGGGCATGCACTTCCAGGGTAACTTAGGATGGAGAGACAAAGGGAGGAGTGACCTGAAGCCGAGTAACCTGGGAGGGATGCCAGCCGAGTGCTCCAGGTCGGCTGGGAGTGACCTGGACACAGTCATCATGTCTCCTGATCCACCACAACAAGACAAGTTTAACTTCGTGTGGGAGGAGGTGTGTGTGTGTGTGTGTGTGTGTGTGTGTGTGTGTGTGTGTGTGTGTGTGTAGTTCAGACACGAGCTGTATAGATCTATCCAAAATATTAAATCATGATATTATATAACCCATGAGAGAGAGAGAGAGAGAGAGAGAGAGAGAGAGAGAGAGAGAGAGAGAGAGAGAGAGAGAGAGAGAGAGAGAGAGAGAGACTCCACTCATTCATGGTACACGTCTTCCCCAGATGGACCTCAGTGCTCCACATGACTCCCCGAAGAAAACCAGAGACCTCGCCAACACACTTAATGATCCACACACAGGTACGACCCCCACCCACTAACACCCACGCACAAACCCCCACCCACTCACTCACACCCAAATACGACTACCCACCCTAAACCTCTCTTAATTATCCAAAAAAATTCTTCTTACTTGAAACATAAATAATTAAAAGTAACTTCTGACTTGTGCTATAAATTCATTGATTTTCTTGTTTATTTGAAGACTTAGTCAGATTTCTATAAGAGTTACGGTTCATGTTAACGTTTTCTGTGGTGACAAATGTTTATATTAAGCGATAACTATTGTATTATGGTAATTTACTTACACTTTCTTTCTCAGGGTCAGGTATAAGGGGCGAAGAAGTCGAATTGGGCACTTCATATCAGGTCCACACCAATCAGGGTCGTACCAGTCCATATCTTGCCAATCAGGATCATGGCCACCAGACCCACGGAAATCAGGGTCATGCCAATGCTAATCAGGGTCGTGTCAGTCCCTACCCTATTAATAATCAGGGACTTGGAAATCAGGAACATTCCACTCTACGCTCTGTGAGTCCATATCTTGGCAATCAGGACCATGACAACCAGAGTCATGGAAATCAGATCAGTACCAACCCGGCCATTACAAACGCCAATCATACCGCCCAAAGCTACGGAAATCAGAGTAACGGAAATCAAGTTCAGTCCAACATGGTTATTGCCAATCAGGGGAACGGAAATCAGGTACTGAGTAGCAGACAGCGACAACAAAATACCCGAGAGAGTGAAAGCAACGTAGATGGAATTGAAAACCCAATGTATACGGTAAATAGTCACTAATTTTCTTTATAACCAATTTTACTCAATAAAATTAATGAAAACAATGGATAAATGAATAAATGAATAAGTAAATAACTTAATAAATAGAAGAATTAAACAAGATATCAACTAATTCCCCGTTCAAGTGTAAAATATAGTTATTCAATGTTTAGGTGAGTTATACCCTTAATTGAGTTAGAGAAAATTAAAATCTCTTTATTTATGGTAGACTCAAGTAATCATATATCAGTTGCTAGTTGATAGATAGATTTATTAAAGTTCTTTCTCTCTTACAGGAGTGACGTAAACAGGAACTGGAAGACTGTATAAACAAACTATGGAGCTGCTTAATGACTCACTAGGAGGCTCAAACAACCACCAAGTGCCTATAAGTGCCTCACAGGTGACATACTGACAGTGCCAAGTGCTTATAAGTGCCTCACAGGTGACATACTGACAGTGCCAAGTGCTTATAAGTGCCCCACAGGTGACATACTGACAGTGCCAAGTGCTTATAAGTGCCTCACAGGTGACATATTGACAGTGCCAAATGACACCACACACTTACAAATTACGAATTCAAGTACTACACCTCGTTAAATGATCTTAAGTGGATTATGATGTTATAAGTGCCTTCAATTGCCTGAGTTATTCGATGAAGGGGTTGTAACGGGCTGGACTGATTAGTAGTGCCTGTCAGCCCAGCCGTGAGCTGATTAGGTGACGGGTAAGTGATCCATATGCCCGGTAGAGAAGGTAATATTTTAACTGGAAAATACAGTACTTGGACATATATTTGTGAGGTGCTGCTTGGCCCCACCTTCCTGCTGGTCATCAGTGTACCAGCATTAGTGACCAATGTCAGGCGCAGGTAATTTATCTCTACATTAAGCCACCAACCTCTGCCTCTAGTCAGTCAAGTTGTCCACATGTCAGAGGCGCCACCAAGCTGACAGGCTGTAGACGTGAGGTGACAGCTGTTATGACCTCACATGACCTCACATTGACACCATTAAGTGATGTGTGTGTTGATAATGTTGATACAAACAATAAATATGTTTTGTGATGTTTATATATATTTGTCCAATAACACCCAGGGAGGTACATCTCAAGAGACACTCGCCCGAGGATGTGAGTCTTGTCTCCGGACTGTCTCAAGTACATGACTGTAGTTCTTAGTATTGTCTTTAACCCGGAGTTAACGAAGGGTCATATGCGCTGTATCAGTGTTACATTACCGTCCTACCGTTATAGTTAGGTTAGGTTAGGTTAAGTGTACCGTGAGTTAGTCCCTCTCATGACTGGACACACAAACATTACCTTAATAATAGTACAATTTTTATCACTTATGTTTATGTAAAGTTAACATTGGTGAAAATATTACAAAGAATATTAAAATAATGATAAAATTACTTATATATTATTAAGAATGTTAATATCACCACCAATAATAACATCACTTTAATATTACTGTTAAAATAAGTTGATAATAATTAAGATACATGTTAGCTTAATTTGAAGTTTGTTTAAATACTAAGACTGAGAGAGAGAGAGAGAGAGAGAGAGAGAGAGAGAGAGAGAGAGAGAGAGAGAGAGAGAGTTACAAATGTTGGAGATATTGACGGACCAACACCTGTACAGTCACCCACGAACCTCAAGATTCAAACTCGTGAAATCCGAACCATTTATGGACAGAGTAATGTATCAGTCTACGGCTTCGGGTTCACGGGTCTGAATCTCTCTGGCTTCAGGGGGGGGGGGGGTGATTAATAAGGAACTATTGTGTTTTATCAGTTAGTGAGTGTAACTTGTGTTTACTTTAGTTAATCTGTTATGTAGTTAATTATATTGTTATTATTATTATTATTATTATTATTATTATATAGTGTTATTATATATAAACTTTGATATATAAACTATAAATAAATATAAATAACTAGAAATACAAACGATATACTTATATAAAGCTAATTTTAATATATATATAGATATAATTTTGAGTTAATCTGACTATAATATATTTCAGTATAACTATGTGTCTTATATATCGACTTGACGTATATCTAGTTATATGAAGTGTTGGTATATCCCATATGGTATATTAATTGTATATGTAAGGTATAATACAATATATACCCTCCTTATATCACCTGCCATCCTGAATGTGGAGTGTATGCTATATCTGATAAGCATAAATTCTGATATATACTCACCAAGGTATATATACCCCCCCCTGTTATACTGCATCTTGGTATATCTTTACAGTTTAAGGTATATTTTCGTTATATTAAGTAGATCTCTTATACCCATCAACTAGGTATATACTGACATATAACAGGTGTGACGTATATACCGGGTTTATATACCACAAGGAAGCTATAGTGATATATTTGGTATATATAACGTGTGTTAGTATAAAGAGGTATATATAATGAATATATTATTGGTGTTTATGTATCCTATATCTTATTAGACAGACAGACAGACAGACAGTTATATGTATGTGTGTCAGAGAGAGAGAGAGAGAGAGAGAGAGAGAGAGAGAGAGAGAGAGAGAGAGCGCACCCTCACACCTGAAATATTGTACTGAACACCTGTACACATGTTGACATAATTGCCCAGGTACAGGTGTAGAGAGGGAGGGGAGGAGGGAGAGAAGGGGAGGGAGGGAGGAAGATATTGGAAGGTGGGAGAGGAGAGAGGAGAAGGAGATACTAAGAAGATGGAGGAGGGGAGGGGAGGAAACACTGGGAGGAGAAAGAGAAGGAGGGGAAGGAAGAGAGGGGGAGGAGAGAAGGGGAGGAGAGGAGGGGAATATTATTAATTTTGTATTTAATAAACTCCTAATTCTCTTTGATAATAATTACCTGTACATCTAATTAACTTTATTGTTCTATCTTGTTATTGTTAAATTAAGGATATTTACTCACAAGAGGAAAAATAATAATAATAATAATAATAATAATAATGATAATAATAATAATAATAATAATAATAAAGAAACAAAAGAAGAAGAAGAAGAAGAAGAAAGAAAGAAAGAAAAATGGGATGAAAAAACAAAGAAATTAATACTTATATTTAACCCAAAGCCACATATAAACAATCACTACAACAGCAACAAACACACACACACACACACACACACACACATCCTTGACCACCGAAGGGTCAAGACGTACCTGGCGCTCTCTCGGAGCAGCCAGGTCAACGTTATGTTGGCCCATACCAACCCCTCCCCTGAACCCTCTCCCCACCGGAATATCAACATGTTCTGCCAGAAGTTACTATTTCATTTAGGAAAGGAACGGAACCAGTGTTAAACAGTGAACAGTGGTGAACAGTGCTTAAGTCAGTGAGAACAACTCAACAGTAACAGTGGTACCAAAGTTAACCTTCACACAGTGAGGTCCCAGGTACCCAGTGATAACGGCCCGTGATAACCAGTGATGTGTTAATCCGTCTACGATAGGAAGGCCTGGGCCACCTCACTCATATAACACACCATCTGTGAGGGATTACACACCACGTGAGGCCCTCATAACACCATCTGTGAGGGAATTACTACACCACGTGAGGCCTCATAACACCATATGTGAAGGAGTTACTACACCACGTGGGGCCCTCACTAACACCACCAGAATTACTACACCACGTGAGGCCCTCATAACACCATCTGTGAGGGAATTACTACACCAGTGAGGCCCCTCAACACCATCTGTGAGGGAATTACCACACCGTGAGGCCCCTCATAACACCATCTGTGAGGGAATTACTACACCACGTGGGGCCCTCATAACACCATCTGTGAGGAATTACTACACCGTGACGCCCTCCATAACACCATCTGGAAGGAATTACTACAGCACGTGAGCCCCTCATAACACCATCTGTGGGGAACTACTACACCGTGAGGTCCCTCTACACACCATCTGGGAGTTATTACACTACGTTTTTGCTGTTCCACCTACATTAATCTGTATGTTCACTGTATGTTCCTTCACCTTTCTCTAATGAAGGCTTTGTTAAACCACCAATGTATGTAATAAGTCATTTATGTCAATGTATATTTTTCAGCCTTCGGGCTGCAGAACTTTTCAATAAACCGTTAATTATTATTTATTATTATTATACACATGTAAACAAACCCAAACATGAATGAACAGAAGCACTGAGTCAATAGACAGATAAACACATAAGGTTAAACGCGCCACGGGGTTAGGTCACCGGGTCATGAATGGAACTTGGGAATGAATGAGAGTCAGCTGCGCACCTGTTCTGTATAAGTGTGCACCTGAGGGCATCACTGACCCCGCCCCCCCCTCTTTGGGGTATCTGGTGGTGGTTCCAGGACGACAATTATCTCATTACTCCCGGCAGCAATTTACGCGCGCAGGGGACGGGGCTGCCAGACGAAGGATCAAACTAAATGATCCGGCAACTAACTGCTCTGATCACTTGAGTTGCCGCTAAGGATAGAGAGGCCCCTCACGCCTGGCTGACCCTGACCAACCAGTGTACAGAAAGTCCTGAATTCTGAATAAACCGAATGATAAAATCCTCCCCCCTCCTCTTCCTCCTCCCCCTCCTCTTCCTCCCTCCTCCTCCTCTTCCTCCCTCCCCTCCTCTTCCCCCTCCCCCTCCTCTTCCTCCCTCTCCTCCTCCTCTTCCTCCCCCTTACTCTTCCTCACCTCCTCTCCGTTAGGTGGTTTTGCCATTAAGTCTCGTGGCCATGCGTATGTATGTATGTATGTATGTATGTATGTATGTATGTATGTATGTATGTATAATTCGTCTTGCGTCAACAGTGACTTATTATCAGAAGCGTTTTTAAGTCAGGTGGTGAATGCTTTGGGAGGGGGTGTTAGGGGTGTTGAGGGGGAGAGTGTTAGAGAGGGAGGAGAATGTTGAGAGGGGGAGGGAGAAGATGTTAGGGAGAGGGGAGAAGTGTAATGGTGAAGGGTGAGAGGATGGGGGACAGAAATAGAGGTGGTGGGGGGGAGGATGTGGGGGAGGAAAGGGAGGAGGATGTGTTGTGGGGAGGAGGGGGAGGATATGTCCAGCTATACTAGGCGGTGATTGGTCGTGTTCAGAGCAGGAATGTGGGTTCCCTACTGCAATGTTTATCCCTTTCTCTCTCTCTCTCTCTTCTTGATTCACTAGGAAAGGAAAGAAGGAAGGAAAAAGAGAGATAAATGGGAGGGGAAGGGAGAGGGAAGGGGGAAGCAATAAGGGGTAGAAGATAATGATAATTTAGCATCAATTACCGTCATCATCACACAGGAGGGAGGAAGGGAGGAGAGAAGGGGAAAGTAAAGGGAAGGAGAAGGGAGGAAGGAGGGAGTGAGGGGGAGATCATTTAGGCACAGTTACCATCATTATCGCACAGGAGGAAGGAGGAGGAGGAGGGAGGTAATAATCTGTGGTACTTACCGTCACCACACACACACACACACACACACACACACACACACACACACACACACACACACACACACACACACACACACAGGGGTCAGGTAATTGGCAAGATGGGAAGCAAACAGGTGAGAGAGAGAAGTCAATTTTCAAGTCTGTGCCAAGAGATTCCTTCCACCTCCTCCTTTCTTCCTTCCTCTCTCCCTCCTCTTCCTCTCTCCCTCCTCTTCCTCTCCCCTTTCCCTTCTCCTCCCTCCTCCCACCTCCCCCCTAGATCATTAAGGCAAGGTTACAAGACAATAGAAATCAGTTTAATGACCGGAAGCTTTGGTATAAAAAAATGGTAGCAACAGGTAGTACTGACCAGACCTGCTGTTTTCTGCCCCGCACCTGACCTGCCATACTTGCAGGGGCCTGGACAGGACTACTCCTCTACTGAGTCCTTAAGCTGCCTGCCCCCACGTACTCAGCGAGACCAAGCTGATAGAGTACATTCTATAACCCACGACTTGTTCAGCATATACCCAGAAAAATCACCATGTTGTTCTAAGCACCCCGAACACACACACACACACACACACATACCACACACGCCACACACACACACACACACACACACACACACCACACACCACACCACACACACACACACACACACACACACACCACACACACACACACACACACCACACACACCACACACACACACACACACACACACCACACACACACACACAACACACACACACCACACACACCTACCACACACACCACACACACACCACACACACACCACACACACACACACACACACACACACACACACACACACACACACACACACACACACACACACCACACACACACACACACACACACACACACACACACACCACACACCACACACACACACACACACACACACACACACACACACACACACACACACACACACACACACACAGCAGTAGCGTGTTACAGCAGGAGGAGGAGGGCAGCGTGTGTCAGAGATCATGGCGTGGCTTGGAGCTGCAGGAAGGTCAGGGGTCAAGGTCACCCGCGGCTGCCTGTCTTGCGTCTGTCCGCCGCATAACAACGCCTGCGGCCCCACGCCATCAGCAACACTCTGATCCGCGCCACAAGACCAGAATTGTGGCGCCCTGGAAATGGCCCGCCGTCGTCCAGAGGTGAGTGCCGTCATCAACAACACTCAGTAGTGGTGACCAGTGTGTCTACTGTGGAGTGAGCATGTTACTTTACAACAACAACAACAACAACAACAACAACAACAACAACAGCAGCTATAACAGCAACAACAACAACAACAACAACAACAACATTACTACTACTACTACTATGTAAAGACTCCAGTATAACAACGCCATTACGAGCCATAACTAACGCCGTCACGAGCGATCACCAACGCCACCACAAGCGATCACCAGCGCCAGGCATTCCCCTTCTCGTCTCCTCAACCCTCAGGACCAAAACGTATTGGTCTCTACGCCAGGCGATGACCTCTCGCCCGCCTTCTGCCTGCAGTGGCGTTGAGCCTAAAAACGATGCTGTACCTCCTCCGCTTCCACCTTGCTCCTCTTCTTCCCTCCTCCTTCCTCTTCCTCCTCCTCTCTTCCACCACCACCTCCTCCTCCTCACCCCCCTCCTCTTCCCTCCTCCTCCTCCTCCACCCTCCTCCTCTCCTCTTCCACCACCACCTCCTCCTCCCTCCACCACCACCACCTCCTCCCTCCTCTTCCACCTCCTCCTCCTCCTCCACCACCACCACCTCCCTCTTCCTCCTCCTCCTCCCTCCCTCCTCCTCTTCCTCCACCTCTCCTCCTCGTCTTCCACCACCTCCTCCTCCTCCTCTTCCCACCCCCACCACCTCCTCCTCCTCCCTCTTCCACCACCTCCTCCTCCCCTCCTCCTCCTCCTCTTCCCACCACCTCCTCCTCCTCCTCTTCCACCACCTCCTCCTCCACCTCCTCCTCCTCCTCTTCCACCACCACCTCCTCCCTCCTCCTCCACCACCTCCTCCTCCTCCTCTTCCACCTCCTCCTCCTCCTCCACCACCCCCCCTCCTCTTCCTCCTCCTCCTCCTCTCCCTCCTCTTCCTCCCACCACCTCCTCCTCCTCGTCTTCCACCACCTCCTCCTCCTCCTCTACACCCCCACCACCTCCTCCTCCTCATCCTCTTCCCACCACCTCCTCCCTCCTCCTCCGGAAGTGGCATGACCCAACATCACCCTCACCCCACTCCTCCTCCTTCCCCTCCCTCAGGCCCTTCCTCTCCCCCCATCCCTCCCAGGTCTTCCTCCCCACCTCCTCCTTTACCTTCTCCAGACCCAGGAGACACGGAAGCCCCAGGATCCAGGTCTCCGTGTGTCTCCTGGCGGTAACAAAAAGTCACTGTTTACTCTCCTGCGTCGAGGTAAATAATTGTCTGTCTGTCTGTATATATAAACGGAGCAGGTATATGCTACCTGAACACGCACACACACACACACACACACACGTCCCATCGAGAGAGTCCTACAGGTGTTGTCTCGTACAGGTAGTTGGCGGGCAAATACCTGTTCTCATTCAGGTATTCGCTTTAGCAGAGTTCCGTTTTAAGGGGATGGTTTAAGGAGTCCGGTTTAGAGGTCGGTTTAAAGTCCGGTTTAGGGTCGATTTAAGGGTCGGTTTAAGGGGTGGTTTTAGGGGGTCTGTTTAAGGGGTCGGTTTAAGGATCGGTTTAAGGGGTTGGTTTAGGGGTCGGTTTAAGGGGGTCGGTTTTAAGGGGGTTGGTTTAAGGGGTCGGTTTAAGGAGTCTCCACCCCCCACACACCTCTCCCTCCTCACCCTCCACCTCACCCTTCTTCTACCCCTCCTTCTCTCGCCCTCCCTCCCCTCTCCTGCTCTCACCCCTCCTCTCGCCCTTCACCTCCTCCTCGCCCTCCCACCCTCCTCCCTCGCCTCCACCCCTCCTCCTCGCCCTCCACCCCTCCTCCGCCCACCCACCCCTCCTCGCCCTCGCCCCTCACCTCCTCGCCTCCACCCCTTCCTCCTCGCTCTCCACCCCTCCTCCTCGCCCTCCACCCCTCCTCCTCGCCCTCCACCTTCCTCCTCGCTCTCCACCCCTCCTCCTCGCCCTCCACCCCTCCTCCTCGCTCTCCACCCCTCCTCCTCGCCCTCCACCCCTTCCTCCTGCGCCCTCCACCCCTTCCTCCTCGCCCTCCACCCCCTCCTCCTCGCCAACAGCGTCACCTGAGGGAGCCACGCGCATAGAAAACGTCACCTGTAATTATCGCAAGATGTTGCAGTCATCCTGTCAGGTCCCTCAGTGCTGTCGGGTCCTCCTTCACTACTTTGGTGTTGTGGGTCCTTCCTCGCTGTCGGGTCTTCCTCGGCTGTCGGGTCTTCCCTCCTTCATCTGTCGGAAGAGAGTTTAAGACTGGACAATTCCCCATGTTAGGCTAGGTTGGGTTAGGCTAGGCTAGGTTAGGTTAGGTTAGGCTAGGTTGGGTTGGGATTAGGTTAGGTTAGGTTAGGTTAGGTTAGGTTAGGTTAGGGTAGGGTTTTCAATCATCAGGTTAACTAAGCAGAGGTTCGTAATCTTCCTTAGGTCGACAATTTCTCGTAACTGTTGGATAAAACACATAAATAACATTAACCTCACCTTAACACACTACCTTAACTAGATACAATAACTTAAACCTAATATTTGCGATTTAAGGTACATAATGTTTTAGTAACCTAATCTAACTTAATCCACCAGGTATCTTCAGGTGTGTTTAATCATTAAACAGTGGACTAAGGTGTGGGCTGATCTTCAGGTGTACGACCGTCACTACTTTTTCCCCCGTAAGTTTCAAGCCCCCCAATCAGCCAATCCCCTGCCAGCCATGCGTCCTCTTTAAGCCAGTCATAATCGAGACTCGTGACCACCAGCGCCAATCACAGGTGAGCACAGATCTACACGTGGCCAATGAGAGCACGCGTGCGGAGTCCTTGTTGATAACTTATGGAAGGAGATGGTGGAGTTTGTTTTCGACTCGTGTGTATCTGTTGGTCATAATTGAATAAGATGATAATTTTTATGTTTTTTGGGGGGGAGATCATATGATGTTTTGGTGATAATTAGCAGATAAGTGGGTAGTTATTATTGCTTGAAATCGTTAGAAATAGAGGATTTGGAGTCATCTGGTGAGCGAAACATTGTGGAAAAGACGCCGCCGTGTGTCGCAGCTGAGTCGTGTGTCGGGAGGGGGTAGGTTGGCAGAAGCGTGACACAGCCAGACCGCCACGAGACATAGTGGGGAGTAGACGTGTTATTTTGTGTCCTCCTCGTCACCACCCACGCCCATACAACAGTCAGGATGGGCGTACAACAACAACCACCGCTCGTCAGCAAGACCAGGGCGCCTAAACCTGTCAGCGAGGCACGACGGGTGAGTGTGTATTGAGTGCTATAGGTCCGGGACGTGGTTGTTGTGCATCCACCTGTTGTTACACACCTGTCACTGTAACACAACACCCGTCATAAGGTAACACAACACCTGACATAATGTAACACCACCTGTCATACGGTAACACCACCTGTCATAAGGTAATACAACACCTGTCATAAGGTAACATAACACCTGTCATACGGTAACACGCCACCTGTCATAAGGTAACACCTCCTGTCATAAGGTAACACCTGTCATAAGGTAACAACACCTGTCATAAGGTAACACCACCTGTCACTGTAACACAACACCTGTCATAAGGTAACACAACACCTGTCATAAGGTAACACAACACCTGTCATAAGGTAACACCACCTGTCACTGTAACACAACACCTGTCATAGGTAACACCACCTGTCATAAGGTAACACGCCTGTCATAATGTAACACCTCCTGTCATAAGGTAACACCTCCTGTCATAAGGTAACACCACCTGTCATAATGTAACACCTCCTGTCATAATGTAACACCTCCTGTCATAAGGTAACACCTCCTGTCATAAGGTAACACCTCCTGTCATAGGTAACACAACACCTGTCATAAGGTAACACAACACCTGTCATAAGGTAACACAACACCTGTCATATGGTAACACCTCTGTCATAACACCTCCTGTCATAGGTAACACCACCTGTCATAAGGTAACACCTCCTGTCATAAGGTAACACCACCTGTCATAAGTACACACCTGTCATAATGTAACACCTCCTGTCATAAGGTAACACCTCCTGTCATAAGGTAACACCTCCTGTCATAAGGTAACACCTCCTGTCATAAGGTAACACCTGTCATAAGGTAACACCACCTGTCATAATGTAACACCTCCTGTCATAAGGTAACACCTCCTGTCATAGGTAACACCTCCTGTCATAAGGTAACACCTCCTGTCATAAGGTAACACCTGTCATAAGGTAACACCTGTCATAAGGTAACACAACACCTGTCATAAGGTAACACAACACTTGTCATAATTTAATACAACACCTGTCTTAAGGTAACACCACCTGTCATAAGGTAACACCACCTGTCATAGGTAGCACCTCCTGTCATGAGTAACACCTCCTGTCATAAGGTAACACATTGTTGTGGTCCACAGATCAGGAAGCCGTTGATGGAGAGGAAGAGACGGGAGAGAATCAACACGAGCCTCAACGACCTGGCCAGACTGCTGACGGAGGCCCACCTGGTGAACGCGGAGGCCCCTGGTAAACAGACCAAGCTGGAGAAGGCCGACATCCTCGAGCTCACCGTCAAGCACCTGAAGGACCTCAAGACCCAGCAGGTCCCTGACGGCGGCGACGATAAACAACCTGAGGAGACGGCGAAGGGCCCGCCAGCAGCTACAAGGAGGGCTTCACCAGGTGTATGGGCGTGGTGGAGCAGACTCTCAGTAAGGCGGGGAAAGAGGCGTTGAGGGAGCGCCTCCTGACGCACCTCAAATCCTGCCTGAAGACGCTACAGCCGCCCACACCACGCCCAGACGCCGCCCGCCAGCCGAGCGAGCAAATGGCAGCAAGGCTCTCAGGGGGCTCGGGGGCTCCTGTCACCTCCACCATCAAGTGTGAGGCGAGCGTCGGCATCAAGCAGGAGAGTGCCAAGGGTAGGGGTGCCAGTACCGCCTGACGCTGGTGCCAACGGCTACCTACCGGGGGTCGCGCCTTCCTCGTCCAGGGAATAGACCCAGTCTTCTCCTGCCCAGGAGGGTAAGACGGTAGAGGTCAGCACCTCCCCAGTGCCGCCACAGTGCCCCGACACCCCGTCAACACCTACCAGTGACCAGTGCCCCAGTGCCTCCCCAGTGCCTCCACCCCCGTGTCCGCCCACATCCCCGCCTCACCCCCCCACTGTCCGCCTACCTCCGTTCCTGTGTCCACCCCGTGTCCGCCACATCGCCCCCTCACCCACCCACTGTCCGCCTACCTCCGTTCCTGTGTCCACCCCGTGTCCGCCCACATCGCCACCTCACCCACCCACTGTCCGCCTACCTCCGTTCTGTGTCCACCCGTGTCACTGTCCCACATCTCACCCACTGTCCGCCTACCTCCGTTCCTGTGTCCACCCCGTGTCCGCCCCACCTCTATGTCTGTTTCCACCCAGTGTCCCCACCACCACCACCCACACCCACCACGGTGACACCCTGTCTACCCGCCTCTACCACACCCACACACAACAACTACCCGCCCTCAACGTCCATATCCACCCAGTGTCCATCTATATCCACGCCCATTCCACACCTCCCGCCCACATCCACCCAGTGCTCACCCATCCTACCACCTCCCACACACAACAACTTCCATGATGATGTACTACACGCCCGCCCACCCACCCGCCCACACACCGCCCACACCGCCACCCAGCGTGTCTCCACAAACCTTCCATCCTCCACCATACCCCGGGCAGGAGGACATGGAGATGGAGGAGGACAAGGATGACTACGAGGAGGACATAGACATCGAGGAGGAGGACGAACCTTATGACTTGAGCATGAGAGGAATGTGGCGCCCCTGGTGAGCTCAGTGATCACAATGAGCTGAGTGAGATTAGTCGTCTATAAAACACCATCACAAACCAATTGATCAGAAAATCCCATCTCAACCTGTGTGGGGAACTAGAGTGAGTCATCTCGTCTGATCGGAGTGTGTGAGATCTTGGAGTGAGTTTAGTGTGATCTTGGGAGTGACGTAGCTTCATACTTAAATACTATAACAAAAATACAAGTGTGACTATGAATGAACGCCCATCTGATCATAGTATAAGCCCTTGTTTACAAATAGAGAGAGACAAACTGAGAGAGAGAGAGAGAGTTACGAGGTAAACAAATGAATATAACTTGACTACATCTCTCTAATAATTGGTAAAAAAAATTAAATGTTTGTATTTTTATTTAATTGTAAAAATATAATCGACTGTGATAATGTGTTGGGTTATGTTAATTATGACAATCAGGTGTTTGTAGGAAATTGTACAATAGTAAGTATAAATTAATTAACATTTTAACATGGTCTTCTTGTTTACTTATGTATTGAAATTATTGTATTAAAATTTATTCTAATATTCCTGAGGATTTTTTCGTAAGATTTATTCAATTTTGTGATTTTTTTCTTCTTTCCTGTGATTACTGTTATAGTTTATCATTATTAAGAAAAAACTATAATTCTTTCATTTCTTTCAATACCAAGAAAATAAATCACTACTTTTTATAATATAACAAGAAAAATAAATCTGTAGGAACTAAAGAAAATATAGAAATAAACCAATGTAGTATTAAGGTATATGATCTGTGATAATATGTAATAAAATATTCTAAAAACACCTATTTAATCCATTTATTCCACCTGTAGAACCAGAAATTATCGCTCAGAACCAGAAATTATCGCCCAGAATCAGAAATTATCTCCCAGAATCAGAAATTATCGCCCAGAACCACAAATTATCGCCCAGAACCACAAATTATCGCCCAGAATCAGAAATTATCGCCCAGACAGAAATTATCGCTCGTACGTCACAAACAACGGGGATAAAGGTGTCAGTATTTAGAGGAATATTACAGATTATTTCACGTCTGGGTGTAGTGGTGATTAATACCAAGTGAACGATAGTTAAGGATAATGATCGTTAATGAAGGTAAGGCAAGATAGACAGACAGACAGACAACTAAATCTGCCTAGGAAACACCCCCTCTCCTCACAACCGTCATAACAACCCTACCAGTTATAGAGACTATCTCGAGGTAGTTATAGGCCTATTTGGTGATTTAGAGGACTGTCTGCCTGATAATTCGTCTCAATTATAGGCCTGTGTGTGTCTGTTTCTTCTCAACTGTCTTTCTCTAACCTTTTCTCTATCTTTCTATCTCTCATTTTCGCCTCTTTTCTCTCTCTCTCTCTCTCTCTCTCTCTACACCTGTAATTACTACTACCACAACTACCACCCCCCCCCCCTCACCTGCCTCCATTCACTCCCTATTAATGAATGAATCAGCCAAGACTTGTTGATATAACCTCGTCCCGATCCCTGCCCCTGACTTAAACCCCATATAAATATAATTAATTAACTAATATCTCCCACAGAACAAATAATTCTATCTAATACTAATAATAATTAATGATCTTTAGCTATTAATTGATTTTTTTAAAGGTAATAATTAATTGGGTTTTATTTAAATTATATTGTGTTTTATTGTGTTGTGTTTCGGAGAGGTTATCCAAGGCGGTGTCCGAAGCTGGAGAGGGTGTGGCTAAACCCGAGGGAGTCTGATGGTTGTAGGTAAGGTGTTTCGTACACGTCTGCCACTTCCTGCGTATGTGGTCAGTATCTTGATATTGCCACTACACCTGATACACTAATTAGCTCTCTACAGTACACCTGACACACTAATTAGCTCTCTACAGTACACCTGACACACTAATTAGCTCTCTACAGTACACCTGACACACTAATAGCTCTGTTTTCACACCCTGACACCCTAATGGCTCTCTACACTACACCTGGCACACTAATTATTCTCTACACTACACCTGGCACACTAATTATTCTCTACAGTACACCTGACACCTAATTAGCTCTCTAGAGTACACCTGACACCCTAATTAGCTCTCTACAGTACACCTGGCACACTAATTAGCTCTCTACACTACACCTGGCACACTAATTAGTTCTCTCAATTAGAGAAATACAAACATATTTTTCTTAATTATTAACTCTATTATCTCTCTCTCTCTCCTTCATTTTTCTCTCATTTGTCTCTCTCTCTCTCTCTCTATTCTCTCTCTCTCTCTCTCTCTCTCTCTCTCTCCTTATCTCTTTCTCTCTCTATCTCTATCTATCTCTTTTTGTTTTATCTCTGTACAAAGTTTTCAGAAAGGGTAAAAATTTCACACCTAAAATCTCAAAAAGTTCAAGTACACCTTCACCGCCTCCTACAGGTACGTAATTAACACCTGCTTTATAAGACCTAACCCTTACTAATGTCTTTATCTTCAGGGTATGTCTTCCTACGTCACCGCCTTCTGCTGAGAGAGAGAGAGAGAGAGAGAAACCAGGGCTTAGCCTCCGGGTGGTACAGGTACATGGCCCTGGAGGAAGAGGAAGAGGAGGAGGAGGAAGAAGAAAGAGGAGAGTAGGAAGGGGGAAAAGGAGAGGGAGGAGGAGGAGGAGTTAGTGTGGGGAAGATGGAGGAAGAGGAGGAGGAAGGAGTAGGAGGAAGAGGAGGAGGTGGGTGACGTTGAGAGAGATGGAAAGAGAAGAGGTGAAGGTGATGGGGCGTAGCAGTGGGAGGTGAAGGAGGAGGAAGCGTGTGTGTGTGTGTCTGCCGTCACTGATTACGCGCGTGCTGCTGCTTGGCCAAGGGGGGGAGAAGGGAGGAGGGGGTGGTGGGGGAAGAGGGAGGGTGGGGGAAGAGGATGGAGGAGGGAAGGGGAGGTGAAACGGATGTAAATGGTACTTAGGGAAGGGGAGGTGGGAGGAGGGAGGGAGGAGGGAGGAGAGAAGGAGAGGAGGGAGGGAGAAGAGAAGGAAGGGGAGGAAGGGGGGCGGATGTGTGACTCGTGTGTGCGTGGAGGAAGATGGACTGGAACAGGTGTATATTTTCAACACGAGACAAGGTGTGTGTGGCTGTGGTGTGGTGTGGCTGTGGTGTGGTGTGGTGTGGTGTGGCTGTTAATGTGGTGTGGTGTGGTGTGGCTTGTGTGTGGTAAACAATGGTGTGGTTATGGTGTGATTATACTGTACTATGGTATGGTGTGGTAGTAGTGTGGTGTGGTATGGTGCAGTTATGGTGTGGTTACAATCACCATATGGAAGGCTGTTGTATAGTGGTGGTGGTTGTGGTGTTATTCCTCTCTCTCTCTTCTCTCTCTCTTCTCTCTCTCTCTCAAGTTTGTCTTGGCTTTATTCTTCAGTAAAACAGAGAGAGAGAAGAGAGAAGAGAGAAGAAGAGAGAAGAGAGAGAGATTGTACTCATGCTTGAGGCCAGGAGATGGAGGATGACCGCTGGATGATGACCGCTGGAGGATGGAGGATGACCGCTGGATGATGGAGGATGACCGCTGGATGATGGAGGATGACTGTTGGAGGATGACCGTTGGAGGATGGAGGATGACCGCTGGATGATGGAGGATGCCCGCTGGATGATGGAGGATGACCGCTGGATGATGGAGGATGCTGGGGGAGTTATCAAGGTAGGATGAGTGTGCAGGTAAGAGGTAATTAGCCTGGCCGCTTCAGGTAAACTAATACAGGAAGCTGCCTTAAGGTACCCTCATCCATCCTCTCATCCACCTCTCATCCAGCCTTTTACCCGTTCTCATCAGCCTGTCATCGATCCTAAACCACCGTCATCCATCCTTATCCATTTTTATCATCCTCATCCGTCTTCATCCATCCATCCTTTTAGTATCGTCATCCGTCTTCATCCATCTACCCTCAGGCATCCACCGTCAACCCTCCAGCGCCACACCACTCTATCAGACATCCTCATCCAACGTCATCCACCATTATTCATCCTGTGTGTGTGTGTGTGTGTGAGGGAGGAGGAGGGTGATGGAGGGGAGGGGTGATGGAGGAGGGTGATGGAGGAGGGGTGATGGAGGAGGGTGATGGAGGAGGGGGTGATGGAGGAGGGG